ATTTCAGCATAACTAAGCTGAGACTTTGAATATGTTTTCACAACGAGCCAACTCATTTCCTAATTTATTGGTCTGATAATACATATTACATTCTGCTTTAACTGCCCAGGGAACTAGAGAAATCTAAGGGCCAAGAACAATGATGGACAGAGGGACACACTATGCTTTCTGCCCTTCCCTACCTGAGGGCTGTAAAGGTCACTGTGGAGTGGGGCTGACATTTTCAGAGCCCATTGGAAGGGTGCTGAAGAGGATGAAATGCCTCCTTTGCTCCTTAAAGACTTTTTTTTTTAAAGGAAGCTATCCTGATTTGGGTGGCAGGGAATTAAGGGGGCTTCAAAGGGGTGATCATTTTGCTTTTCAACTCCTCTGAAACATACAAAAATACTGTTCTTCATGAAGGCCTTTCTCTACATCCTGGAGTGACCCAGGGCAAGGCCCTCTCTCACACCTAATATAGAAGCCTTTCTAAGCAAGCCTATCTCAACAATCACCAATTCTACAGCTTTTATTGCCAAAACCTGTCCCTAAAAAGAGGTGAATAAATTGGCTGGGGATGATGGAAACTGAAATCCAATACAGTTGAAAGACACCTTGCTAGGGCACAGGAATGCTGTCCTCTTGGCCTAATTTCTCTAATCTAGTTCTTTCCTTCTGCTTTGCTGTTTTCCACTTCACTATTTATGTATTAAATTTATATAGCTACCCATCTCACTTCTGCGACATTTTAAATGTGTCGTGTTAATATATATAACTATTAACCATGCAACTCACTGTAATAATGTCTTGATATTAATATTTAAGAAGACACAATTTATATCTGGTTGGCATTTCTACAAAAGTCCTATTTTCATAAACATCCTGGTGATTTTCATATATATCTAGATGTTTCTTTCAAGCAGAAAAAAGCAGGATAGGGAAGAGTTAGTTATCCATATTAGCTCAGGTGAAAAATGGAAAAACACGAAACCTTAGGCACTGACTAGGCATGATATAGGAGGCACATAAAGTATCTGATTTAGGTTCATTTTTAAAAATGCAGCTGCAAAACTTTGGATTTTACTTTTAAAAAGGGAGAATGGTTTTATTCTTTCCTCAGGGGCTGCTGATTTGCTCGAAAGTAGCTCTTACAGCTATTTCTTCCTTCACAAAACATGTTGGTTTCCCCTTATCAGTGGAATAATTCTGTTAGAAATTATTTAAGTGGCCTTCTCACTTAAGAAAAGTCCCTCTAACAATTTTTGAACTAAATTAAGGGGTGGGGGGAATGGAGGATTTAATTGGACCTCAAGTTTCAAGGACATTTTGTTTTCTTTCATTCCTAGTTAATTCTCTTCCATCTAGAGCAGGGGTCTCCAACCTTGGCAACTTTAAGATTTGTGGACCTCAACTCCCAGAATTCCTCAGCCAGCAAGCTGGCTGAGGAATTCTGGGAGTTGAAGTCCACAAGTCTTAAAGTTGTCAAGGTTGGACACCCTTGATCTAGAGCAAGCCACTAGCAAATAGAGCCTGTCACTAAGCTCCCAGTGTTGTGATGTCATCCACCATGATGCCATCTTTCAGTTCTTCTAGCAATTAAGAAATGAGTAAGGAGAGGGATTTAAGGCTCACAGACAAGGACAAACATTTGTGGAATGTTTCCTCCAGGACTCTTTGGCAATCCCTTGATTAAAATACTTCTATAAAACTGCTCAAATACCTTGGAATAAAGCTAGCTAGCATTCATGCCACAACATAAGCATTGCAATATTGCATCAGAGAAAAATATTTAGTGAGTAGTACAAAATACACTATTTGCTAACTATGAGTCTACTGCTGCTATGATTCATGCAAAGGATCAGGAAGTGGCAGCAGAGGGTTAAAAATAATTTCAAGGGAACCCTCCCCTCAAAGTATGTTAAGGAAATCCAATGCCAGTTTTTACTTCATTAAAAAAAGATTAGATATTCCCAATGGTTTCATGAATAATCCTCTATAAGAAGGGTGTTATTATTATTCAAGTACATAAACCAGGAATAGGAAATCTAAAGTCTCTATATGTGGTTGAAGTGTAACTCCCAGAAGTCTTGGGCGTTAGGGCCAGTGGTGAGGACACTAAACATTTCAGGTTTACAACTTCTGAAGAGGGGTGTATTCCTCAATCTTGGCATAACCTCCAGCATCGGACAACAGCATCTTATACATGAGCACAAACTTACACATCCCTTCCGATATTCTTCAGTCAGGAATTCACTATCAGTTCAGAGACACTCAAAATATAAAGCTACATGGTGTATTCTGAATTTCATGGTTTCATTTTGCTTCCATGTTTTTAAGAAGAAGCCAAGTGATTAAAAAGAAAGGCATGCACATTTCAAATGTGATGCATGTAACAAATGTGAAATTTCTGAACACGACCACGTTAATGTGAAATCATTGAGAGTTAATAAACGCAGCCCTCATAGACTAAAGAGTTTTTTTTCCCCCGTTAGCATTCTGTGGTAAGGGACTGGGGTCTTCAGACACAGGTTGCTGATAGATAACAATAAGGCAGTAGAATTGGAGAACTGAGAGAGCAGACTGAGGCATGGGGCTGCAAACATCCCTCCACTGACCTTTTTTTCCCTAATAATCTTCCCTGGCTTTTCCCCCAGTCAGGCTCCAAGCCCCGAAATAAACTCACCTATACAGTGGGAAAAGGGTGTGCAGTACGCTGTGCTACCTGCCTGTTTTCTTCTACAAAAAAAATAAAAAAACCACCCCCAACTTTCCTGCTTGAGGCTTTCTAGCCACAATATATTCGGAGATGCAGAGCTGCCCTGGTACAGGCAGTCCCATCTTTTGATAATAGTATTTGTTCTTCAGTTAGCTGGTACTAATGCATTTATATCAGGAATCACTTTGAGCTGTTTCCATTCAGGTCAGTGAACCTGACCTGACTCTGTTTAGCAGCTGAGATCGCAAGATTTGTTGTTACTCTTGAAGGTGTCACACAGATTTGTTTTATTATATGAACAGAGCAATAGGGCCATTCTGATTATTTTGTCCAATAAAATGAAAGCTGTAATCTTTTAGGATTTGGAACGCTACACAACAGATAACTGAAGCTGAAGGGTTTCCCCCCCCTCATCTGGGACTAAGTGTAACTGAGTAACTTTTTTCCTCTGCTGATGTATCTGGCTAAGAGCAGAGCCATCAGTACATTTAAACATAGGGAACAATAGGAAAGATATTTTAAAAGGCAAGATCCCTTTGCAAAGGGTGGAGGGAGAGGAAGGTAAATGGAGTTTCATATCCCGAACAATTCTATTTATTTATAAACCCTCCCCAAGAACTGTACAATTTAAAAGAGAATGTGGTTATCTTTGTTTGGTAGAACTTTCCAATGATAGTTATAGAAATCTACAATACAGTTGAGATTCTCTATCCCACCGTACACATTGTTCAGTCACATCCCCAGTTCTACAAACACAAAATTGGCTTTCTTTTGTTGTTTCTTTACTGATTTCCATGCAATATGACCCTCTGGCATCTCTCAGACTGAGAAAAATATACATCTCCCAAACATTTGTGATATGTGGCATTATCAAATGCATGTTGCTTACATTTTCCTTTAAAAAAGACAGACAATAAAATAAGGTATCTAAACAAGATGAGCTACTTATTATCAAGTTCAGTGAGCGCCAAGATGAAAGCAGGATACATTTACACAGAAACAAATTACCGTAAACATCCAGGTTTAGTCCTGGTCCTGGATAGGCACATGGAGCATAATGGTTTGGAGGAAAGGAGAATCAAGCTGCCTGAATCTCCACCCTCCCCCATCACAATACTGGAAACATCTCAAAGCTTTCTGGTTATCCTGAAGGCTCGATGATGTTGGTGTAACAGGAATTTCATTCATTCTTCATCTGCAGAGATGCACACTCTGTGCTCCTCATGGTTCTGCATCATTGCTGGGAGAATTCTCCACAACTGACTGAAAGCCAGAATGCAGCAATTTAAGAAAAAATATATATGCAAGAACATGAGGTGTTGTCCTCATATCCAGCGAAGTTCTGTATCCAACCCTCTTTAGCCTTCAGAGGTTGGCACTGTAGCATGTAAACATATTTTAAAAGAGAGGTGGGCTCCCAAAGGCTCAGAGGTTGAGCAGCCTCCCCAACCCAAGGAGCCAGGAAGAGTAAGGAAACAGAGACAAGGAAAAGAATGGCGACAAAAGGCTTTTCTTTCATGCATTTTGCTTTGATTATTTTTGCCTGACCATGTCTGTAGGATGAAAATGTTCTCAAAGAAGGTGCAGTAAAGGGGAAGACAGAGTTTCTTGGTTGTTGAAATATGTGGCGTTCCCCTCAATACGTCATGAAAAGAGTGGGGGCACGTCAGCTCCCTTTTGCTGATGACATCTGAATGCAAAGCTTCTGAACCCAAAGTTTTTCCCCTTTCTCTACACAAAGGGGTAAGATCTGAGTAAATAAAGCGTTGCTGTGCAATTTACTCTTCAATTTTCTAGCCAGCAGACCCAGAGAAAACCAATTTGTTGCAAGCCACATTGAAATTTCAGGTAAATACAATGGTGTAGGAATGAGAGCAGAGAAAATGCTATTACCTGTGGGTGTTTTCTCACAGGACAAGGTAGGGTCACTTTTTATGGCAGCGTCCTTATTTTTGCTCTTTTAATGATGACCATACACTTTTAAAAATTAATTCTGGCCATTTTTTATATTATTATTTTCTTCCATTGTTTGTGTCTGACAGACAATGGTCAAAGAACACAGTATTAAAAACTAGGTTTTATAATGCTAATTTCCATTTATCTGCCAAGACAAACCAATGACTGAGAAAAAGGGATAACTTGAGCTCAAATTCTATGGGCCACAAAACTTAGCAATCATTTGCCACCAAAAAACCCTTCTTCAAATAAAAAATGAGAGAAATGTGCCCCTTAGTTTTTTCTTATTCTTGACTGAACTAGGCATTAACTATATTGGTCATTAGAAAAAAAATCCTAGCAGGAATACAATAGAGAATTACTCTTGGCCCAGTCTCAATTTTGCAATATTTTCAAAGGAACTTGCAAGTCTATTACCTTACACTACTAGATGGCACCAGGCCATTCCCTCTGACAGCCAAAAAACTGTTGCAATATAAACATTTGGGGAAAAAATAGAGGAAAACTAGGTACATAGTTAAGCTGTGGTATGTGTTTGTTTTTGTTTCTTTGTCTTGTCTTCCCTGTATACAATGGAAAGACTGAACTCCATGTCTGCATAAATTATAAGATTGACAGATGACCCCCGCTCCCTTTTCCCTACATGCAGTGCCCAATAATAAATAGAGGGGGAAAACCCTCTCCAGCCCCCATATAGGCAAAGTTAACCGAGGGTGGGTGCATAAAGAGGCTTTCAGCGGCAAATGCATGCACACGTGCTGAAGAATGAGGTTTGAATTGGACTCAGAGTACCTCACGGAATAGTCACTACCCCTAAAGTCCCACAGTCTGGATCCATGCCCTCCACTTCATGGTCCTCTAGGCCTCAAGTGAAAGCTTCTCTCCAAATAGCACCTCATTTCCATGAGTAGAATTCTTGATGAGGCCTGGCTTTTTTTGCTGCAAAGTTATCTAAGAAGCATCCCTCTCTCCCTATCATTGATCCACCAGGTTCCAAGAGCCAGACCGAAGCAGCATTTTCTCAGAGGCGGTGTTAATGGAATCAGCCTCACAAAGCCACTCTTGATACCAGCATAACCTGTTCCCACTGTTTGCAATGTCCACATGAGGCCACTATCTTGCATTCCCTGAGCTTTCTGGGCAGTATAAGTCTTACAAGTTCAGCCTAATGTGTGCAGGAGGAGAGGGGGAGTTAGCAACGCCCAGCACTTTGGTCCTTGGCTTACCTTTCCATAAATCTAAGGATAAACAAGTGTGCTATGAGGAACTGGGAAGCCTGGGGAATTGAGATAGGGGGAATTGAGGAGCTGGAGAGGGGCTTCCCTGACACTTTCCCCCACCCGTGTTTCCCATGCATATTGTCAAAGGTTTCAACAGCCAGCATCAGTTATTGGTTTCACCTTCTTCCTCATCAAAGGACTGAACTCCAGATGATGTAACATCAGAAACCTTGCGGCTAAGGGCAGCAGGCTCTGCCTCCTCTCTGGGTGAAAGAGACTCCAGATCCCGGCATACAACATCGTCCTCTTCTGGAGAAGGTTTCTTGTTCAACAGGGGGGCTTTCTCCAGCACGGGGTTCCCTTCCTCTTCTGCGTGAACTCCCACAAGAGTGCTGGATTCAGCATCCCCCCCATTACCAATGCTATCATCACCACTAGGAGTTGTCTGAGCTGGCCATACATCTACAAGGCCAGTATTTTGGAACACAGCTTGTTGCACTTGCTGGTGTTGTTGTTGCTGCTGTAGCTGTTGCTGCTGCTGCTGTTGCATTTGTAACAGTTGGTGCTGCTGGATAAGGTTGTTCTGGATTAAAACACTTTCCTGCAGGTTAGACTGGCATTCCTCAAAGTTCTGGCCAAGGTAAGAACCAGCAGCTGGGGATGCAATGAGGGACTGATCACTGGTTTCCCAAGCATCAGACGAACCCAGGCAGTACATTCCTTGTGAGACGTAAGAGTGAGGCCAGCTGTCATACTGCACCTGGGCCAGGTGTTCTGCATGGGAGGTAGGAAAAGAAGAAAATAAAAATGAGAGAGGTGAAAGGCAGAATTGAAGAAGAAATGGGAAAGACATAAGCAATAATATTTTGTGGCAGGATGGTAAGCTTGCTTAGCAGTTGCCTGAGGAGGTTGTGAGAGTACACAATTTACAATGAACATCCCTTAAAATGGTTATTTACAGAGCTGTTAGACTCTTGGAATCTCACAGCTGTGAAGATGCATTCATGATTTATACCCAGGCACTTTGATTAATCCAATGTACAGATCAAGTGAATATGGACTGAGAATACATATTTATGTTAGGTGTCTATGAGATCCAGATGCTTGGATTGAACCATAATCTTTTGTGCTCCAGGGAGGCTGCTGCGGGGATCCTAGAATGTCTTCAGACATTTTTTTCCCAGTGATCTGAAACAAGACTAAAAGATCCAAGAGAAGAAAGAAATCTGACTACCAGAGAGAAGGCAGTGGAAGATGTTGAACTTCTAGCAAATACATTATTCATACAATCACCATTTTATAGCAGCTCTGAGGCTACAAAAAGGAAGACTAAGATTGAAGTTGCATTGTACCTCTGCCCTAATCTAGAAGTGCAAAAATTACAAGTCACATACCGTACTGCATGCAACTCATTTATGGCCCCAGAGGAGGTGGAATTAGTTTCTAGAAAAAAAAAATCTTTCAATTTTGAGGCAGTGATTTAATGGTCAATTGTATCCATTAAAAACAAAACCATAACAATAGAATTATCCCAAAAACGCAGGCCAGTTTTCTTTTCTTTTTTTAAATTTTTGCTGCAAAACTGGTATTTACTTTGTCAGTTACGTTTCCCAAGAATAAGTAAAACAGCTTTTACTCTACTACTGTATTTCAATAACTTCTCTAAAAAAATTATATTTTTAAATTTCTTGAACATTATGAATGTACATATTAACTAACTATATGTATACAAATGCAAACTGTACATATGTTGATTGGAATGTAAGCATGCCTAGTTTAATTTAGAATAGCTCTACCTTACTCCCAGTAGAAGGGTTCACCATCCCAAATGATCTTCAAATAAATACCATCTGCTTGTTAACAATTAGTATGTCAGAGAGAAGGCTAGATTTAGTAACTTCCCAGCTGGCTGCTGAGAGGGACATCCATTGAGTCGCATCAGCCTCTATTTGTATGCTGAAGCAACATAGTCTAGACACAAGTTTGACCTAAATTCTACAAAGCTTGAGGCACAAAGAGACCTACCAGGTGGTGTTGAGAGACAAATAATGAAAGTAGAGGAAATAATATAATACAGAATACAAGCTGTGCCTTAAAGTGTTTGATGATCTAGATAATATTAACTGAATCCTGGTTACAATAACTTTCTAACAGTGGCCATTATTAGGGGATTTAAGGCTGAAAACAGCTTTCTTAACATTATTTAATGTGTTCAGTGCTGATAAAACATTTAAAACTAGGGTTTTCCTGCTTAGTGCTTAGCCAATATATTGCACAAATAAATAGAAAGTTCATAACAGATAACTAGGACTGGTGTGCTTCTCCCAATCAGAATAGCCTTAGCCTTCTCTAATTGTCTCATGAAAAGAAGATTACCTGTCTCCCTATAGCTTTATGTCAAATCTCCTGGAAGCTTAAGAGGAAAATAAATATTCACCTTGATTCTCCATCATCTCTTGATAGTTTTCATTGTAGTTGCCAGCTTGGTTTTCCTGACTGGAGTTGACACTTACATCCTCGCCATCCATGGAAGACCAGGCCATCAGTGTGGCTTCTGAAATAGCAAACTGTTGCATCACTCCTAAATGATCAAAAGACAGAAAAGAGTAAATGTCAACGATGCCAACTCATTCCTTTCTCCCACTTGCTAATAACTCCATACACCTGTCACTTCCCTGCTGTCTCACTGTCCAATATCCAAATCAATAGCCTATCTCAAAATTCCAACCCGGATCCTGAAATTTTATATTTTGAATGGACAATCTTGTATCAGAATGGCTGTCTCATGCATATAGCCAGTGGCACAGGAATAAAGCCCACCTTCAAAGCATTCAGCAGTGTTTGGAAGTTGCTAAAAATATGGATTAGGAATACAGAATTGTATAGTAAAATTATACATGATATCAGAGTCAGAAATATGATCTATAATATCTAAGAAGGGAAAAGGAATAATTTAGAGATGTTTTCAATTGAAATCTTTATTTGTTTTTATTTGAGCCGGGGGAATAAGATAGTGAAAAGATATTATCTACATTGAGAGATTTGAATGGGTCCAGATCCACTCCAGTGTAAGTATATCTCCTCTAAGCTAACTCTTGGATTATTTTCACACTTCTTTAAATGTAAGGGGAACAGATCAGAAATTGTTATGTCCAAACATCTGAATATCCTCAGTCCATCTATGCAATCCAAAGAAAAGCAATATTCCAAATAAATAGATTTGGAATTTTGATTCTAATGAAATAACAACATCTGCCTAATTCAGGTGTTTGGGAAGGACTCAACAGGTAGACAACAATGTCAAATCCAAACTAAACATCTGACTATCTGTGCAAGCAACCATCATAATGGAGGAACAGTCATGTGATTCCACAAATCTAGAAAAACTATTCTGTATCCCATTTACTCTCCTCTTCGTCCTCCTTGTCAACCTAGAGCTATTTGCATGCGGAGAGGTGGTAGCATACCTGCAAGGAATCGGGCCTCTTTTTCTCCATCACTCAGGTCAGAGTAAGCATCTGCATCCTTGCGTACTGTCTCATGAGTATGTTGCTGCTGGCTGCTGCCCCAGCCCTGCCACTCAATCATGTGTGCAACACGGCCCTGCCCCATGGCAGTGGGTTTCGTGACATGATCCTTCATGCTGCGGGATATCCCTAAGGCGCCTGACATTAATAAAACAAAGAGGGGCTATTATACAGGACCAGAGCAATCTGTCATGACAACCGTCTAGGACAAGTCTACTTTGTTCTGTCTTCCTGTCCCAACATAATTGCTCTACTGTTACAGGAGTCTCCCCATAAAGGTAAAAAAAAATATATGTGCCATGGAATTCCAAAACTGAATTGCTTTACCATCTTTTTATCTGAACAATACAATGATTCGTCATTCCATTGGAGAATCTGGGCTTGACAGCAAGAGGCTAATTGGGGCCACAATATAACAGGTGTAACGAATTTCAGACATCCAACAAAATATGATAATAAATATGTGCCTAAGCAATATGCTTTCTCCAAAAAAATGTTATGGGGAGCAAAATCAGGACTGCAGCACTGAGGAATTAACCCTCATGATTCTCCTAGAAAGAGTCTTCTATCCTCACCCAACCCTCGTGTATTTTATAAATTTGCTCTATGCCTGCAAAGAGGTTTCCATTGGCACTTATGGTAGTTTTTCTCCTGATGCATACAAGAGCAGAGCTCTTTATGGGACAGGAAATAACTTTTCTACCTACAAATCAAAAACTTTATAGAAATTATAGTAGACGACAACATGAAATTATATAATTTAATTTTCATTCATGAAAAGTTAAATATACTAATTATAATGTATTGATTGTTAATAAAAACAGGGCTGTCTATTTTCAGAATGTTTTCAACCATGAAAGATTAATGTTAATTAATTCTAGCACTTGCTTCTTTTTCTTGTTATGACTAAGATTTTCAAAAGCTTTAAACAGATTTATAGAACTTCTTTAATTCTGTGAATCTTTGGTATAATTCTTTCCTTTTTCTCTTCTATGAGCAAATTGAATAGAAAATTATTTTATTTAAAATGCTTTTAAGGGCAAAATCTTTCCCAAGGCCGCTTACATAATACAATCACATGGAATAAATACATAAATAATGAAATAGTAAACACTGATAAAGGGTAAAAATCACAGCATCATAATAATACTAAGACCAGTCAATACTAAAATCAAAATACAACTGCATCTCATCCCAGAACTATCCCCACATTGCTCTCATAAAAAGCAGAAAATAATAAATATGTATTCAGGAATGTCTAAAATTAATGAGGCTTGATAGATTCTAGATGCCAACCATCCCAGGCATGTAGAGTGCTGTAGAAAAACCCTGTTGTTTTGTATTGGTCAACTTGTCACCCTCAAAGAAGGCAAGAGAAATGACTGGCTTTTAAAAGTGAATTGGTTGATACAGTTGAGGGTGATACCCTCTCAATAGTTTCACCCTTAACAACCAAACCCTTTAGGGGTTAAATCCACAGCTTTAATAGTCACTCTGAAACGCCTGATATCCAGTGCCATGTAGTCCAGCCACTCCATATCCCAAAACATTTGAAATGGATCATCTTATAGGTAGCTGCAGATTATAGTCCATCCTTACTGAATGAATAACCAACGTGAAGTCTGGAGAACCAACCTAGGTTCCTGACCATCCCAGTCACTCAGCTTTTGCCATGGGAAGAGTGCTCCAGAACGAAGGGTCCCCCAAAGTGGAATTTCTATGCAGAGCCCATAGTTTTCCTACCCAAGGATTCTTTTTCTTGCCTGTCTAAATTTGCACTTGTTCATTCTCACTCCTCCTCAAGCAGCACTTTTGCACTGAAATAAAGGGGAGATCAGCACATAACTTTAGGGAAGCATTCCTCAATCCTATGTCCTTTAGAACTTTGGTCTATGGCTCTCCCCATCCTCAGTTAATCTGAGAGTTGTGATTCAGTACTGAGAGGTATTAAAGTTAGGAAGACTTATTATCGTGGTGGGGGTAAGATTTATTTTTTTGCATTAGCAAAAAAAAAGACCTTGTTCTGTAATATGGGAACGGTAATGGGTGTTGTCCAGTTTTTATTTTTACCCCAGACAGACAATAGCAAATTATTGTTATGCACTCAGTCACACCCACCTGCTCCAACACAGAAATGTGAAGGGGTAACAAACCAATTCTGAGACATAGGAGCAACGAGGGAACTGATGAATATGTGGCACTTAATTCTGCAATTTGGATAGGTAATAAAGATATCAAAAGTTTCTTTTTTACTCCTGTTCTTTCATAAAGATTTGAAGTTAGGGCAAAAAGTGGATAAAACCCAGGTTAGTAAGAAGTACGATTTCAGATTCACAGGTTTGAAATTCTCACCAGATAAAGATGACTTAGCAAGAGCTCCAATTCCATAGGCATTTGAGTTTCGTTTCAGTTTGGGAAGAATTGAAGTTGTATCTTCCATGGATAGCTGAAAACAGGGCATACCAAGAAATAAAACATGAGATAGAGAAAAGGAGCAGGAGGTATTCTGATCTGAGTTTCTAAGAAAACAAGAAATATAAATCTAAAATAGAAGGAACAAAGAAGAACAGTAACTTCAGAAAGTTTCTAAAGTAAGTATTAGTTTTGCATCAGCCCTAATGAGCTAAAGTTACATTTGGTGTCTGGCTGGCATGTGTTTTGCCAGCAATTTATCATATATTATATGAGAAGGTTAAAAGACAGAAAATAAATAATATTCAAGGTAGAACCTGTTGTGTATGTAAAGCTCCCAAATACTTCAGAGCATTTCTAACATAACAACTAATAACATAATACACCATCACCATGGCAGCAGATTATAAATTTAGGCAGCCTTACATCACAGCGATAGCTGTATAATGCTATAAATTGGTGGTCTGAGTGAGTAGAGGAAGAATAAGAGTGGATTACTGTTATCTGGATTCAGATAAATACTGAGTAAATAAGGTCAGAAAGTATTTTTCAAAGGTGAAGATTTACCCAGCTGCTTTCTTATTTTGATTCAGTATAGAAGCCAGAATGATAAAGGAAAGACTAGATTCCAGGAAATCTGCAATGAAGTCACCACTTCTTCTGCTCTATGCAAGTAATAGAACATACCTCATGTCTTAGGTTTTTTTTTCTGCCCCTACTTTTCATTTTTGAATGCTACACAAAGGAAACACTCAACATTATTGTTGAGGAACATGGTGTACAATCACAAAATGAAAAAAGAAGGGAAAAAAATAGGAATTGAAAAAAAATATAGGAATTGAAATTGGGTACAGATCCTCCAAAACCACAGATGTGTCAGTTAATTTTCCTTCTATATTATCCATACAAGCTGTAAGAATCCATAATCCTGAAGTGCTCTCCCTTCTTACTGAAAATCCCCTCCCCATACATACAGTAGATTAGCCATTTTATCCTGAATTTGCTATTTATTGTGTGGGACACAGAAAACCCAAGCACCAGAAAGAAAGTGGTTGAAGAACAGTGTTGGTTTGGAATCCAGTAACTACTTTCATTTAAAATAAAAATGGCAGCATTATGCACATATATTGTAATTACTCTAGCATGTCCTATGATTTGATTCTTGTCTCCAGAAAATGGACTACAAAAGTTATTGGTCTAATAAAAATTGTACTCTGAGCATTAAAAAATAGTCATTTATATTTAGTCATTATTTGAGTATTAATTTATGCCTTTTCAGTAGTTCATTATTGTTTGAGCTAAGCAATTTATATGACAGTTAGTGATAAAATTAAATGAATGACTCCCATTTAATCACAACCTCTCCTTAGTATAACATATGAGAAACAGTTATTAGAAGTGTTATTCCTTGAAGAATGTACAGAATGCCAACTGTGTACTTCATAGATATACAGAATGAATATATTTGCTTTTTTCTCTATTGTGTGAGGTTTTTTTTTCTTTTAGATAATTAGTCTTGGGGGTATTTTGTGGCAGACTTTTGGCAAAGCAATTCCTGCAATCCTTTTTTTTTTATCATATTTGGTTGTCCAAGTACATCATATTGTGGTTAACATAGAATTTGGTTTATGTAATGATTTTGAGTTCCAGTTTTAAACTGTAGATTGTAGATAATGTAGATGAGTTTTCTTTTCTGGATATTTAATTTTTTTGTTGATGAAAACTACAGGACATAACTTCTTTAATGGCATTTGCACTCTTTAATGAACAGATTGAAAGGTGATTTTTATGTCCTGTTTTTACTGAATTGTATGAGTTCACATTTATGTATACATTTATACACATGGTTTACAAAACTAGGAGAGTCTGGATAATTTGGATAAAATCTGCATTATTTTAAAATGCTATGAAAAAAAAAAACCAGAATGAAAATAAAGGAGTCATTAAAATAGATGTTTTTGGATTGTAAATGATAGTGATAATATCTTATAAAAATGTTTGCAATATAAATTAAAGCCTGTCCTTGAGTCCAGGCAGACATATTCAAAACAGCCAGCAAGTAGTTATTTAAATATCCTTCTACTTTAAGAGCAGGTTTTGAATAGCCACCCACTCACAGATCAGATTTTCTGCTGCTGAGGGGGGTCTGTTGTGGGATTGTGGAAAAAATGTTTAGATAATTGGAATTTGACCTTGAAACACACACATCTTCAGTGTGCTGAGCTGCCATTCAGATCAATTATTTGTTTTTCTGGATAAAGTATCAATTGGACTAGAAGCAGGAAAATGCTCAATCTATGGTATGACCCAGAATTTAGAAACAAGATGGGTCCCTAATGGTCACCTCAAGACCCACCACTGGTCACCAAGACCCACTCAAGACTCTCACATAGACAGACTGACTCAACTGGAGTGCTGGATGTACTCACATTAATGCCATCCCAGGAGAAATCTGTCCGTGTTTGCTATATAAGAAGAAGAAGACAAAGCATTAGTAACACACCCAAACTCTCTCCATACCACCTTCCTTTCTTGTAGCAGTTGATTTTATTGCTTCCTCTACTAAGTATTTCAGTGACCAGGATGCATGTTTTGGGAGACTGTTCTTGATAGTAGCTATGGCTGCAAGTGTACAATAAATAAAGATTGGGGAGAGGGAAAAGCAAACTGAGAAGTGGTGAGAAAATATAATTATTCCAGGATCGAAGCTGCCATGGCACTGAACATCAAAGATACTATCAGATGTTCATTTAAACAATGAGTTGAAAACTTATTTATAGCAGCAGTAGATGATTAAGTAGGTATAGATTTATAAAACTGCCTAAAGCTTCGGCATAAAACTAGCTGGATGACCTTGGGCCAATCACATTCTCTCAGCCGTAGGAAGGAGGTAATGGCAAAGAATTGTGCCAAGAAAATTGCAGGCACTTGTCCAGGAAGTCCCCAAGAATTAGACACAACTGAACAGAAGGGGGGAAATTATGACTATAATAAAATATCTTCACTTTCCCCCTTTTTAACTTCTTCCATTCTAGCTTTCTTTTTTGCTCATCTTCCCTTCGTTCTGACAAGATGAAATACTCTTCCTGAAAGCTACGTTCCTTTTATTATTTTCCTTACTCATCCATTTTTTTTGATGTGGCGCTTTACTTATAGAAAAGCTTTCCTCCCAATATTTGCTCTACTTTATCTATATATAAATACTTTTCTTTCATCCTTCTCTGTCTAATTGAATTTTTCTTCCTCTTGACTCAGCTCTTCAATTCTTCCTTTCAGTTTCCTAGATACTGTCTCATATATTGTTTCTGAGATTGTATATTGGCAGGAAAACAGTTTAGGATCATTAGTTGATATGGCTTCACATTTCCTCAGAAATCCCTCTGAGTCCTCCAACAATTAGCTGATGGCACTGAAGGGTAAGCACTGTCTGCCATTGTCTTAAGAGTAACACCTGCAACATGAGGAAGCTGGATTTACTAGTATGATGGAAAGTACCCAGCAATGTCATTAACTCATCATAGGAGGTCCACTTTGCTTCCTGGATGGATCTGAAGCCATCTATATAGGAATATGGTACATTCCTGAACATTTAGAAAACCTTTTCCAGCACCATATGCATCTTGTCTCAAGCAACGTAGCCTTACCTAGAGTTGCATTTGTATATACATGTGAAAACATGGGGGTTTCATGCAGGGGTGAGATCTGACCAGTGTAACTACCGATTTTGGTGTATATCATCGTCATCTAGCTGCCTGGACAGATGAACAGAGCTGCGCGTGGGCACTTTTTTCTTGCTTTTTCAACCACAGCTGTGTCACGCAAAGCAGCTGTGGTTGAAAACACAGGAAATAAAGGTTAGGTAAGAGCCCGGGTAGGCGGGTAGGCCAAAACAGCAGCAGACATAGAACTGATTCTATGTCTGCTGGTCTTCAGAGCTACTGGTTCTACAGAAGTGGACAGAAACCGGTAGAATCCCACACCTGGTTTCATGCAAATTTAACCAATAAAATGTGCTGTTAAGCCTGCTTTCAAGCATAGTTTTCCATAGTTGTTTGGCAATGTTTGTCTATATAATGATTCTAAGATTAAATATTAAATATTTTTATTACAATCTGTCCATGTCCTTTAAGAAAAATGGGTGAAGTCACACTTTACTCTTAAGAACTTCTGCCCAGCACATTTCAAATTAAAAGAGGTTCTGGTAACTGTACTGAAGAAAACTGCTGTCTGGCATCAAGAGAAGGTAGTGGTCAAAATAGACAAGACCAGTTTGGTTTAATTATTGGGCCACTGAATCTGAATGAAGGCAAAGCTCTGCATAGTCCAATAATTATTTTATAACAGAGGTCCATGAGATGCCAGTAGAAAATTTAACAATGGAGAAAAATGGAACCACCTGAGCCAATTCTCCTACCATTCAAATGGTTATCACATTGAATAGTCAAAATCCCCTTAAGAGAGATTTCAGAAATCACAGTCTAAGTAAGCATATATCAACATGCTCTCATCTGTTTGCAGGAGTTTCATAAAAACTAAAATGACATGCTTGAATAGCATTTATCTATTCCAAAAAGCTCATTAAATTTCACTTCATGATAAGTAGGCCACATACAATTATCAAAGAATCGAACAAAGTTATGCAAGAAGGGTAATCCATCTGAAGCCATCTACTCTGTGCTGATGGATAATGAAAACACATATACACAAAGAACCAACTCCTATGTTTTTCCTTAACCCTAATTTCAGTACATGGGCTTGGGAAGTCTGAACCTCTTCAGGTACCCTGAGATCTAATTATGTTTTCCCTCCTGCAATTGATTGGACCTAGAAACAGCTTTTATCTGTGTAAATCATCCAAGTATTGTGGGGAGAGTTGCATGATTATAGCAGAAAGGAAAGCATATAGTGTGCTGTTTTCCCCATTGAAATTCTGCTGTTTACTAGTTGGCAGTGATTAAAAAGAGAGGACACTTCCTGCATTCACATCTTCTACTCCAACATAACAATACTCAATCCAGTCTGGTTCTTAGCTGAGTGCCAGGAGGAAACAAATTATCAGAGGCCTCTAGAAGACCAGGGCTGGCCATACCTGATGCACAAGGCTTACTACCAAATCATTAAATGGCCTGAACTGAATAGAGATTCTATAGCAAAAGGAGAAAATTCTCTGCATGATCACAAGAATACAAGAGGATACTGTATAGAGAACATGAATGGTTTTATCTCACCAGTACTCATTAGAAAAAATTCACAGATAAGGATCTATCCTAAGCACTTCATGGAATACTGCCAAAATGTTTTTGACAGCTAATAGTTCTAGAATCTTACTGGATTCAAATTCCAAAGAATTATTTTATTTTCTGCCAATCTATATCAAGTTAAAATAAAAATTCAAAAAAACAAAAACAAAACCCTATCATTCTCTACAATAAAACACCCCCACCCCCTTTGACTGTTTGAAAGATCCCGGATCTTCATCCTAGAACATACTTGTTTTTGTGGTTTTGATTGGGGATTTCTCTTTGCTGAAGATCCTTGAGTGGTCTCTTCTCTATCACGTGGAATGAATGCTCACCTCAGTAGACGGTCTGTGGATGCTGCTTCCATGGAGTGAGCTGGTGCTGTCCATGTTGATCTGGTCCACATCTTTTAGCCCTTTCCAGTCCACAGCAATCACTTCATTTCCTGAAGCCACACAAAAAGTAATCAGAGTTCCTACTTTTGATTACATTCCAAAATTTCCTTGGCCTTGGATGTCCCACAGCTGATACAAATGTTAATTTAAGCAGGGATCTCTGAGGAAGACAGTCACAGATTTCATTAGGATGCCCCCTCACCTCAAAGAATATGCTATTGAATCAAACTGTGATCTGACATTTTTAAAAATGTTAGAAGATTGGATGGAAGTGTGAATGACTGAAATATTGTTGAATGCCAGGAAAATTGCAAGATTCATCAATCACTGAAACGGAGGGAAGAGACCCCTGGATTTCAGTACAGCATTACAGCCAAGCTTTACGAAAATGTGGTGTCACTTCAGACTCTTAGCACACTTTTTCATTATGGAAAAATACATTAAAAGTTTAATAAATAAATGCTAACTGGCATTTGGCTAACATCAAAAGAATCAAATTCAATACTAATATCAAATATAAATTATGATGGATGAATATCATCTAAAGAGTGGTGATTCTTAATTGCCTTCCTGAAGCCCTTTGAATCCCTTCCGAGGATAACAACGGAAAACTGATGGCCCAGTTTCCTGCTCTTTTTAGATGGAAAATCATATTGCTAGCTAAAAAAAAAGCAGATCATAATCTAAAAGAAAAAAGAAACCCCCCAAACACCTGGGAAAAAACAGTGCTACCCAAATGTGTGTTGCATTCCCACCCATCCTTATACATGTGGCCCTTGGTCACAGAACTTTGCTCACCTTAATCCAATAATGTACATATGAGGTATAGATGTTGAAAATTTGGGTACAGATTATGTATTAATAGTTACACTATAAACCTTAAATACCATATGGAGACTAATTTCAAATAGGATTTGTACAGACAGACATTTAAACAGGACTTGTCATTCTTTTCTTCATAATCAAGAGCCTCCCTGATTCACAAACCATTCCCCATAATCGAAATACATATAGACCATTAGATCATGCAGTAATGTGTCTTCCTCTCCCACTCCCATTTTTTAGATAGCTGAAACAGTTCTAGGCAAAACAGGATGGGTCTATTTCATTTTGAACGCCACCTAATCAATACTGAACAAAGCCATCTTAAGAAAACTTACAAAACTGGCTTCTTTTCTTAGTCTGATCCTAAATAGTAAATGTATGTCATGTGATGCATTAAACAACTTTTCAGGATAATGGTGGTCTGAAAATGATGATAATGCTAAATATTTTGCTGTAACTATGGACGGAGAAAAATTTAAAGCAGACTCAAATCAACAGAGTGTTTCAATTATAAGCACTTAATATGTATCTGAAAGTGTTTGGCATTTGCCAGGAAGTGTACCATTAAACATAAATTCATAACATGGTGTGTACTTCATGGCAAAATGTTGCCATGACATTCAATGGCGCTAGCACAAAAGAGCTAACTTGAATGAAAGGAATGAAGCAATAATAAAAAGAGAACAGGAATCTACAGAATTGAAAAAGAAAATGTGATGAAAGGATTGCTGGATTGCTGTCTGAATTCTGTCGTGACAAGCAAGCTGCCAGGGGTTCCAGTTTTGTCTGTGCAAGTATATTGGCACTGCTCACAGTGCAGAACACCAGGTTGCTGGCTTGTCTAAGCAAAGCAGAAAAGAAAGCCTGCAGTGTGGTTCCATATGGCTCTGGCTTTGCACATACAAGCACTCCCACTCTGCCTAGATAAGCTAATCGGTTAAATCCAGAATATATGAATTTCTGGGACATGCTAGTTTTGCCCCATGAAAACCAACATTGCCCCCTCAGTCCCGACAACTCATATTCACCTTAGTGTAGTCACAATTATACTTGTGTATTCATTATGCCAATTTTTGTTTCCTTTCTTCATGGAGGTCTGAGATAGTTAATTTCCATGGTGTTCTTCCATGATATAATGGTAGTTGGATTTGTGAGATTTCCACATTAGAACTGGGCTGCTTATATTACCTAATATACAGATGCATTCATAAATAGTATAAATATTATGAGGGATGAATTCAAAGGCATATTGGTTTAGATGTTATTGGGTTGGGCAGATATGTGACATACTTTGCCCTGCATGGGAAATCAATTACACTCTAATCCTCTGAACTGTTTGCTGTGCTTAATTGGATATGTAGGGTTATGCTTTCATTCTTCTTTACATTTTCACTGAGCTTTCAATGCATTCTCCAATGGAAGTCTCTAAAGAATAAATTCCATTGTGAAAAAGGGGAAAACCCATCTTTGGTGAATGGAGTGCTCTGAGGTTTTCCATCGTCGCTACTAGGAGTGTTGTAAAACTGATGCAGCAAATATTATCTCTGGATTTTTTAAAAATAATTCCTTAGCTCTATGTGATTTGACTTTATAGTGACATTTAGACAACGATTTCTGTGTCATAAAATATATGTGGTGGGATTGCATGCAGCCATGCATAGACTTCATTTCGGTGATGTGACCACTACGATGCTGCCTCGAAGAAAAACAGCACACAGTCAGTATGCAGCCCTCAACCTTTTCTTTGGCCCAATCTGACTATTTACATTTGATTATGCATGTCAGTAAATTATTACTTTTACAATATACAGTTTGATGAAATAGCATCTGCATAGCAATATATTACAGGCTATTTAAAAATATTTAGTAGTGTTTATTATAAACCCCATAATCACTTTAGGGAGAAAAACAAGCCTTCCTGAATTCCTTATACAGCTCCTATTGTTCAAGCACAAAAACATCTTTATTTGAGGAGGACCTCAATGGAGTTCTTTTCTAGACAAATTGTGGAATCTATCACAGAAGCTCTATTTATAAAGAATAATTACAAAATACAAATCCCCATTTTATACTTTACTCTTATCAGCACAGCCCAAATATTATGCAGTATAAAATTATTGTTCATCTAGTGATGACTGTTTATTATAGAATTAGATGGGACCCAAAGGCAATTCCTGAACAGCTACAGTTTGAGCAAATTTGATTTTTTTTGGGGGGGGGGCACTGTTGTTCCAGACAAGGGGGTAGAAAAAGAGAAGGCCTGTCAGCTCTATAACACAAACCATAGTCATAAAGCTACTTTTATTAGAAGAGCTATAGTAACAGAAATGTGCAAGTCTGGATGTGTCTCCTTTCCTTTTACCTTCATGTGAATTGTTACAAGTGGGTGGTGGACTGTATGAGCTGTACAAATCACTTTCTTGGTCTGGGCTCAAGTCTCATGTATCATCTAGGCTGAAGATCTACCTTTGTCCTTCAAGATCTTCCGCCATAGCTATAGCTATAGCACTTTGACTTATACATTGCTTCACAGTGCTTTCGTGGTGTGGAGACAATAACTTGGTTCTCGACACCAATAAGACCAAGGACCTTATAGTGGACTATAGAAGGAACAGATCAGACATCCAGCCCTTGCTTATCAATGGAAACCGAGTGGAGCAAGTGGCCACTTTTAAGTTTCTGGGTGTCACCATAAAAGAGGACCTGACCTGGGGTGCTCACACTGCAGCCCTGGTCAAAAGGGCCCAGCAGAGATTATACTACCTGAGACTTCTCAGAAAACAACAACTGAATGAAAAACTGCTGGTGACCTTCTACTGCTGCACCATCGAGAGCATTTTAACTTACTGCACCTCTGTATGGTTTGCCAACAACATCATTGCCAAGAGGATCATTGGTTGCCCTCTTCCCTCTTTGGAAGAGCTTTATAGCTCCCGCTGTCTTAAGAAAGTTCAAAACATTCTCAAAAATACATCTAAACCTGGGAACCCTTTTTTTGAACTATTACCGTCTAGCAGATGGTACAGAATAATAAAAACAAGGACAAATGGGCTGAAAAACAGTTTCTATCCCAGGGCAGTAGCTCATTTGAATTCTGCTGTATAGTGCAGCGTTGGTGTGGTGTTGGGAATTTCCGGTTCAATGTGTGAAGGGTGAAGGATGTGTGTTTGTGTTTATTTTCATGGTCATGGTCATGATGTGCACTGAAGATGGTGTTTGATTTCGTTGTACGAGGTGCAATGACAATAAACTAAACTTTACAGCCCCCTCTAAATGATTTATAGAGTCAGCATATTGCCCCCAACAAACTATGCTCATTACAAGGCCCTGCTTCCTGTAGAGGACACTCCCTCAGCAAAGGACCCAGAGTGAACCATTGCTTCAAGATCTTAATGGATGGACAGAACTACTGGGAATAAGTAATCCTGAGTCATGGATGATAAGCAGACCTTGAATTGCATCTAGGAACATGCTAGTAAGCAGGCAGCTTTTGAAACAGTGGTGTTGCATACACAAATTGACTGGCTGTCATAACTGCCTGAGCCACTGTGTTCTGGACCAACTGAAGCTTCCAGATTCAGGTTCTCAAGGGCAATCCCATGTATATCACATTAGAGTAATTCACTAACAGATTATCAAGGCATGAATGATGGAGAGCAAGAGTGCATGATCCAGGAACATTCATCTTCAAAAGATGGAGCTGTGCAAAAGTCATACTAGCTGTGCCTGCTTTTGAGCAGTTGTTCAGGACTCCAGATTACAAACTGATTCTATCCATGGAATTGAACTCTGCCTAGAATTAAAGATGGAGTTTCTTTGGCGTCAGAAGGCTTCCACACAGTCACTCCATCTTATTGGAACTAAACTGGGCCTATTTGCTACCATGTAGATCTTTTTTTTAAAAAAAACAATTTTATTAGTTTTTAAAAACAAACAAAACAAACAAAACATAAAAACATCCAGCTTTCTTTCATAGATATACAAACAGTGTGTCAGATGGTTTACCAGTTTTTGTGCATTCATTTCGTAGTCTCAGTTACAGTTACATTACATAATAACTCATATTATCAATCAGAAATTATATACCCTAGTATCACTATTAAACAATCATTTGACTATAATTTTATTCATTCATACTTTGCGAGATAACTATAATTTACTTAATTTATTTTATAACAAATCATATAATCATACCAAATCTATCCTGAAAACATTTTATAGGTGT